AAATTGTGATTTCCAGCTTGGTCTCCAAGCTTGGAATGTTGGAGCTCAGAAATGTTGGAAGAAAGCTAAAATTTGATGGCCTACTTCTTGTACAGTCTGATACCATCACTCTGTGCTTTTTGTTAGCATTTTCTTGGTGATTRCTGACTGTGCTTTTGATCAATCAATTCAGGTTTTTCTTTGTACTGTATTTATGATTCAAAGTTAGCAACACTTTGATGTGACCTTTAATTCCTAGTAGTACTAAGCAAAACCTACTACCACTAGTACTATTATTATCCCCATTCTTTGTTTGGTAGCACACTAGCAGYATCAAAAATAATAGTTTTGCTGGTCGAGTTTCAGGGATGCTGGTGTCTACTACTAGGGAAAAAGAGGATAAACAAGGATACWTGATTGCCTGCTAACATTCACCAGAATGTTTGCAAAGCAGAATGTTAACAAGTTAACATTAAGAACAATGTTAAATTCAAGCACCAAGAAAACCCAAGCCAGCAGCAGTACTAGTACTAGTACTAGTACTACTACTACTACTCATTGTTTCTACTGCAACAAATACTACTACTACGCAGGCCTAGTACTACTACAGCAGTGTTACCATTCTGAATGTCAACTTACTACTACTTGCACTGCTAGTAGTACTAGCCTTTCCAATCCCATGTGTCATGAAAGTTCAATTTGTATTTTATGCATATTATTTCAGTCTTGTTTCATAGGATTTGCACTGCAGTGTAAAAAAGACAGGTTCTGACATTAAATTAGTACTACTACTACTAATAGTAGTACTTATTTGGGTTCGAATTAAGACTATCGATTCCTAACAGGTTATGAGTACATAAAACGCGCCAGTTTTTGGCTAACTTTGCTTGCTTGTTAACTCAAGCAAAAGCACCAATCAGAATTAGAGAATCCATCAGTCGGAAAGGGTTTTCTTTTCTCTTCACATAGATGTGCACATTGCTGGTTTTTTTTTTCGAAAACCTTTTCGGGCTTCTTGATTTCTCTGCTCACCGAAAAATTTTAGAAAAAARTTAACACAACCCCCAGCATAGCAAGCTGTCACCTCTTTAGTTCTTCATCAATATCCAACCAATCGCGCTCACAAGACAACTATGCTAATCCTTACATTAAGGGGGAAAGGATCCGGAAGTTGCGGATCAATCGACCCAGTGGTTTTGGAGGAACAGCGCTGTAACTACCAGTAGCGAAATCGACGAGGAAAAATCGTATCAGTGAGCCTCCATACTGCTATCGTATCATCGTATCAGCGAGCCTCCGTATCAGCGTCCTCCTCCACCATATCAGTAGCTCCTCCATATCAGCATCCTCCTCCGTATCAGC